ACTCCTGTCTCAACTCTATTTAGCCATACTTCTTTCCATCCCAGAACTCCCAACATAACCTACAAAAGCTAATACAGCTTTTCCTTCTGTGATGCAAGAGATGGGGCCTCTCTCCTCAATTTTAGCAGTCACCACAAGCAATCTTCTTGCCTTCACAATTTCCATACACTACAATATATGCTGAAAAGAAAGTCAAAGCTATTGTGAGAACAAGTAGCTATTGCTTGTAAAGCTAACAGATAAGTTGTTAGAATCCCCCTCCCACCAAATCCACAAGTGGATTACATTCTGTGATTCCAGTCTGAGATCATTTCCTCTTACTCACTTCCTAAAACAAAACTCCTCCTTCTTGCTCATGTATATGTTCCTTTAGGTTATTCCCACCAGTCTCACCTCTTAAGTATTCAAAATAGTCCCATCTTCCATTAAAGAAACTTGACTGATCCAGTTCTTACTATTAGCCCTTTTAAATAGAAAACATTGTTCTACAGTACCCTATGTAAAAGTGAATATGCCCTAATCTAAATATACTGCAGTAATCAAGTATTTGGTAATAGATGCACAGTATGGGCCAGCTGTTTCTAGAACTGAAACTAACTATGGAAGTAACTACAGTCTTAAGGGCTGTAATTCTCTTTGTACAAGAGGTCTCTCTGAAAAGAGACAAAACTAAAGAGCAGTATATATTCATAGAAATACCTTTAAGGCTATGGCATACTGCTTCACCAAGGCAGCAGGCGAAGCTAAAAGAAAAAGTTATACAAAGAAGAGAGCTGGAAGAAGCTGCAGACTAAGTCTCAGCAACTCCACAAAGACCCAGCCTGGTATTACCTCAGCCTTCTCTAAAGGGCCAACCACCATCAGGAAGCAACAGCAACTCCCCATCCCGCTCCCAAAACAAGAGGCTGGGATATTTCAGCAGCACAAACAAGAAGAAGCTCCCTGGGGAGAAGAGCAGCCCAGGGCAGGGAAGCACCATCCTGGGAGCTACAGCTCAAATAACCATGAGCACCAACACTCTGCTGGGCTCCTTTTGGGGAGCACCCTCGCTCCCCTCCTAACCTGGAGGGTGTCACCACTTCCCCAGGCCCCAGCGATGCAACAGGCCGTGACCCCTTCAGGGGTCCCGAGAGGAGAAGCAGGGACCCCCCTACAACAGGAGACGGGGGTCCCATCCCTCCCCCCCAAAATGGCCGAGTCAGCTCCCTCCCAACCACCAAGACCCCGAGCTCCCTCCCAAGCCGCTCGTCCCCCCTTACGTGTTGTCCTGGTTGAAGTTGGCGACAGGCCCCAGCGATGCAACAGGCCGTGACCCCTTCAGGGGTCCCGAGAGGAGAAGCAGGGACCCCCCTACAACAGGAGACGGGGGTCCCATCCCTCCCCCCCAAAATGGCCGAGTCAGCTCCCTCCCAACCACCAAGACCCCGAGCTCCCTCCCAAGCCGCTCGTCCCCCCTTACGTGTTGTCCTGGTTGAAGTTGGCGAAGAGCAGCTGCCCGTTGCCGCCTTCGCCGCTCTGACTGGCCAAGTTCATG